CGCCGAAACGTAATTCAAAAAATTTTTACTTCACACTTTGACTGAGACCCAGGAAAGATCAGAATATCAAAACAGTTTAATTTGAGTTTTTTTGCTAATTGGGATTACTGGAAGTTCTTCACCAGTTTTCAGACCATTGGCAAATAATATGTGAGTTAATAACTAACTGGATTAATGACCCTTAGCTGGGCTSTTTTGTCTATTTTACCAATTAAATCCTGCCACTTSAGGCWTTWTGCAAGCAATACCAGCATAATTGTTAGCTCAGTATTAATTGGTTCGAAGTGAACAGGTTGTGGTTTAATTCCTGTTCAGTACGCGCTGTCCATATTTATCTACCGAAAATAAGAAATCGTAAATAATACTGYACTCAAAAGATTGTTTTTGGGTGTTAAAATACTCTGAGGCCTGTTAAAAATTCCCTGTTCATTCAATGTGTTTTGACCGAGGGTGAAAACAGTCCATTTACTTAATTATAAATCAACGAAACCCATTGTGTTATAGTCTTGGTCTGTCGGTCAGCGAACAGTGATTGTTTTATAAACACTTTGAACCCGACTTGAATAATTTATTATTAATATGTTCAGCAATCGATGACTTTAAAATGGATGAAAGGGTGAAATCATGACGATGAAAGAATTAATAAATAATATTCCATATACAACAGTGAAATTTCACAAGAAAATGGGTGTTAATCTAAGATTTCTGATCATATTCCAGGTCCCATTAATCGGGCGGTCTCTAACGATAAAACAGCACCAATTTTCCGGCTTGGGAAAAACAGTGATGTTATAATTGCCCCTCAAGAGAATCGTGGGAAGTCTTTGTTTTACTGATTGCAGAAAGAATTCCTATTATTTGTTACGCTGGCTGGTCACCGACGTTGTTAGTCGGAAATTCATAAGCCCTTTAAGGCAAACGTAGCTACTCGTTATTATTTGTTACTGTCAACGGTTAGTAATTTGGTGTAATAACTTTGCCTACTAAATCATTAATGTGGAAGGCAGGCAATAAGCAGCAACGATAATATCGGTCAATTTACCCTGCTGTTTGCTGCTGTATATGCAGAAAATCGTTTCTATTTTATTTTTATTCGTCGCTCAACAGTCTTAATTTATGCGGAAAGGTGAACTGGTTGGGATTTTTCACTGAAAATTCAGGGGGGGGGTTATGTAGAAAAAATACAGTCTTCTGTTATCTATGAAATTAGAAAAATGATCGTCGTTTTGTGCAAGGGTGGCGCAAGATTAT